ATTTTGGGAGGATTTGCTATTTCCTTGTGCAGGGGAAAACAACACAGAGGGAAAAGCTTCCAGAAATGGTTCCTGGAGCTGCTTTAGAGATAAACTCAAAATATCTTTGGAATGACCCAGAAAGTGAAATCTGACATCAATCCCCTCCCACTTCCCCCCGGGCCCTTCCAGAGAATTCCCAAAAGGAAATCCATGGGAATGGAGATGACAAAGGCTGTAACCAGGGAATAAATCAAACAGGGAATAAACGAGGTGCTGACACTTTCTTTGTGTTGTTTTTGTGCTCTCTGTGAAAATTCTGGAGTTGTTTCTCTTTCTAAGAGGTGGAAATTATTTTATTTATTTTATCCCAAGAGAGTTTGGGGACACTGTGGGCTGGAAATAAACCCAAGGGGGGAATTTTTAATTAAAAATATTATTTTAATTTTTTTTATATTTTTTATTTTAAATTGTATTTTTAAATATTTTTATGTTAATTTATTTAATTTTTAGAATTTTATTATTCTGAAATTAATATATTTTAATTTAAAACTATTTCCAAATTATTATACTTTTATTTTTTTGAGTTATTTTATCTTAAAATGATTCTATTTTAAAAACTATTCTTTTTTTAATTATATATTTAAAATTTTAATTTAATTTATTTCTCAGTGGGAGTAGCTATGTCACACGTGTCCCCTGTGCCAACCCTGGCTGTGTTGGGACTCCAGGAATGCCCTGGAGAGGAGAAATTCCCCAGCCAGAGCTGTTGCCTCTGCTGCGCTTCTGGGCTTTTTTTGGGCCCACTTGCCCTGTCATTAATTGGAACTAAATTAACTCCAAAGAGGTTCTTTGGATCCAGGTTAAATTGCAATAATTTAACACCACAAAGGGAATTACTGGAGGGTTTTTCCTAAGTTTCTCTCCAATTTTTGGCCCTGGTTTGTGGGGTCCGGTGGGCACACCCTGGTTATTTCTTTTATCCCAAACTCGAGGAATTGAGGGAAAATGAGGTACCAAGATGGGAGTCAAGAGGATTCTGAGCCTCGGGGACTGTGTGGGATCCCAGTGGGATGCTTGAAAAGGCTGGAGAAAACCCAAAACTTGAGGAATTGAGGGAAAATGAGGCACCAAGACGGGAGTGAGAGGCTCAGAATCCCTGGGGGCTGTGTGGGATCCCAGTGAGATGCATGGACATGCCAGGAACTGCAGGAGTGATCAAAGGTTTTATTGGCATTGAGGGAAAACCACGGGGACAAGAAGCCAGAGGGAAATCCAGGGTGGAGGAACGGCTGATCCATGGGGGCAGAGTTCAGGAGGAGCTCACAGGGACCAGGGGCTGGGTCTGGGAGCTGGGAATTCCTCTGTGGAACTCCCAGGGACCATGGGCTGAGGCTGGGAGCTGCAGGTGATGGTGAATCCTTCCCCTGGAGCTCCCAGGGACCATGGGATGGGTCTGGGAGCTGCAGGGGAAGGATTCACCCATCACCTTCAGCTCCCAGGAATGATGGGCTGGGTCCAGGAGCTGGGAATCCTTCCATGGAGCTCCCAGGGAGCATGGGCTGGGGCTGGGATTTGTGGGTGATGGGGGAATCCTTCTGTGGATCTCCTAGGGACCATGGGCTGGATCCAGGAGCTGCAGGTGATGGGTGAATCCTGTGGAGCTCCCAGGGACCACAGGCTGGGTCTGGGAGCTGTGAATCCTTCCCTGGAGCTCCAAGGGACTGGGGACTGGGTCCAGGAGCTGTGGGTGATGGGTGAATCCTTCTGTGAAGCTCTGGGACTATGGACAGGGTCTGGGGGCTGGGAATTCTTCTGTGGAGCTCCCAGGGACCATGGACTGGGCTTGGGAGCGGCAGGGGAAGGATTCACCCATCACCTGGAGCTCCCAGGAAGCGCAGGCTGGGTCTGGGATCTATGGGTGATGGGTGAATTCTTCCTGTGGAGCTCCCAGGGGCCATGGGCTGGATCCAGGAGCTGCAGGTGATGGGTGAATCCTTCTGTGGAGCTCCTGATCCCGGCGGATGAGGAGAGGCCCAACCTTCCCACATGGATGTGGATGGAGAGCTGCTGCCTGGATTTGCTGTTAATTGTACCTTAAAAACAAACCCCAAAGAGCTTCAGGGGGTGGAAACTTCTGCTAAAATCAGGAGCTGGGAAAGGGAGGGGAGGGTTCCCTCGCTCAGGGAGGAGCTGCCCCTTGGGAATGGCTGGAACAGAAATGTCAATGATCCCAGGAGGGTAAGGCTGGAATGAGGAGGAAAATGTGAGGACAAATCACAGGGATGATGAAACAGCCTCTTCCCATCCCAATCCCCCCACAAATTCCTCTGTTTTCTTGACCTTATTACAAGAAACCAGAGGATCCTGAGGAAGTGTTGGGCAGCAGGAAAAGGGAGTCCAACCCTGCCTTGGCACCAGATCCATGGAATCATGGAATCATGGAATGGTTTGGGTTGGGAGGGACCTCAAAGCTCATCCCACCCCACCCACTGCCATGGGAGGACACCTTCCATTGTCCCAGGGTGCTCCAACCTGGCTCTGGACACTTTGAGGGATCCAGGGGCAGCCACAGCTGCTCTGGGAAATCCATTCCAGCCCTCCCCACCCTCACAGGGAGGAATTCCTTCCAATATCCCACCCATCCCAGCCCTCTGGCAGTGGGAGCCATTCCCTGTGTCCTGGCACTGCTCCAGCTCCCTCTCCAGCTCTCCATGAGGATCAGGACTGGGGTGGTGGGTGTTGTTTCCCAGCACAATCCTCTCCCTGCTCCCAGCACCTCTTTGTGTTGATGAGCCAATGCACGAAGTCCTTGGCCTTCATCCTGTCCAGGTACCGCGTGAAGTCGCTGGTGAAGGTCCCCTCCGAGTGTCGCTTGACGTGGGACAGGAAGCTCTGGGAGTTCTGGGCTCCCAACAGCTTCCATCTGCTCAGGGTGGGAGGGGAAGGGAGGAAAATGGGGTTTAATGGACACCCCAGCAGGATCCTGCCCCAGGGGATGCCCAGGGCAGGGCACAGGGTTTGTGCCCTCCAGACCCTATCCCTGTGAGGATCATCCCCAAAAAGATGGAATAGGGCAGGGAGGAGAAGGGAGGAGAAGGGAGGAAAATGAGGTTTAATGACCACCGCAACAGGATCCTCCCCCAGGGTTTGCCCAGGGCAGGGCTGAGCCGTCCAAACCCTGTCCCTGTGAGGATCATCCCCCAGTGAAGATGGAATAGTGCAGAAGAATAAATCTGGAATATTTAAAATTATTCCTACAAATCAAACACACAATTCTTGTTTCAGTTTCTGGAGGTTTGCCAAGCCTGGCCTGGATTTCCTGGCATCCAATAAACACATCCAGTGTCCTGTCCCAGATCATCCCCCTCTTTCCTGCTTGGTGGATCCCAAACTCCACCCTGGCCCCTGCTTCCCCCATCAGAGCAGGAACGTGGGGCTCTCCAAGGTTTGCACCATCCCCAGCAGCTCCAGGGTGATTTTGGGATTCACAACAGAGGGTTCCCACAGGACAGGTGCCATGGGAGCTGTGGGGCTGCTCCGGGGTTTGCACCATCCCCTGCAGCTCCAGGGTGACTTTGGGATTCGCCACAGAGGGTTCCCACAGGACAGGTGCCATGGGAGGACCAGCCCAGATGGGGCTCAGCCCAGCCTGGCTGGCCTGGGGCAGGGTGTCTGCTCTGACCCAGGTAGGAAATCCCAGGATTCCCTACAGGGAATGTCCCTGCCAGGAACTGCCTGTGAAATTCCTGCTGCAGCTCCTCAGCCAGGCAGATCCCACTCGTGATCCCAGCCTGGTGTGGCTCCCCCAGTCCAGACCTGGAACTGGGGATCTTCCCTGTGATTTTGGGTATGTTCTCTGTGATTTATGGGATCTGGGGGTGAAATGATGGCCCCATGAGGGGCTGCAATTCTGGATCCCCATGAGACATCCAGGCTCAGCCCAGGAGCTCTGGGAGCTGGGAGGGAATTTGTTTGGATCCATACAAAATAAATGGGAACATACAAAACGGATACATAAAGAGGATCCGTACAAAATAAACGGCAACATACAAGATGGATACATAAACAGGATCCATACAAAATAAATGGGAACATACAAAACGATACATAAATGGGATCCATACAAAATAAATGGGAACATACAAGATGGATACATAAACGGGATCTATACAAAATAAATGGGAACACACAAAACGGATATATAAATGGGATCCATACAAAATAAATGGGAACATACAGGATGGATACATAAACAGGATCTATACAAAATAAATGGGAACATACAAAACGATACATAAATGGGATCCATACAAAATAAACAGGAACATACAAAACGATACATAAATGGGATCCATACAAAATAAACAGGAACATGAAAGATGGATACATAAATGGGATCCATACAAAATAAACTGGAATAGGGAGAGCTGGGACAGGAGTGGAGAGGGATAAGCTGCTCCCACAGCCCTGTGCCACCCAGCCCCGTACCTGGACAGCTCCTCCAGGTCCTTGGGAGCCACCTGCCCTCCGGCCGGGATGAGCACGGCAAGCACCAGCCCGGACAGGTACAGCCACCACACCATCTGAGCTCCTGGGGAGGCAGAAACCCTGCAGGGAATCTCCTGGCTGCAATTCCCACTGAGCCCCAAAACCCTGCAGGAATCCTTGGCAGCACAGCCCTGATCCCCGTGGGACAGCCCTGCCCGGGGTGTGGGCAGGATTGGGGTGACAAACCCACCCTCACCCTCCCCGTGGGCACATGGCACGCAGAACAGCACCCAAAGATAAAATTGCAATGAGCTTTATCCCAAACCTCCCTTTTCTGTCTGGGGGTGACATTTCTATCCTGGAACTAACACCACACCGCTGGAGAATTTTCCCACTGCTCGGAAAAGCACCTTCCAGATGAGCAGGTTTATTCATATTTTACATTCCTTATTTTTGCTGGACACCTCAGAAATTCTGCAGGAATAAAATGCCACCTCCCACCCTTTATTTGGAAAAACCAGACTTCTGCTGCCCATCACCAAATGCTCTCTTCTCCTGGTTAGAATCCTTTGGAGACTGGGAGAATGAAGGCAGGGAGAGGCACCTACCTTAGGGATTGAGCTGCTCCTTCCACACCAGATCCAATTTTCCTCCTTCGAGCCAGTTCTGGCTGAACTCTTCTCCTCCCTAGTGCTTTTAAACTCGTCTGGAGGATGCCCAGAGCTGACAGGTGGGTCACAGGTATCCTGCTTTTCCTCAGATGGGTCACTGTGAATCATTACAGCTTTTCTGGAGTGGGGCTGCTGCAGACAATGTTCTTACTGGCGGATTTTCCAACTGACGCCTTCAACGAAGTTTTTTTAAAATTGTTGTTGCTGTTTTTCTTATATTTTCTTTTTTTTCTCCCTACTTTTTGGACCAAAGCAGTGACCTGTGGGTTTCCTCCTCTCAGGTGAGGTGGCCTCTTGCTGGCACAGCGTGTCCTGCACAGATTCCTCTGCCCACGGGCTCCCCTTTCCAGCACCTTCACTGGAGAAAACAAACAAGGAGGGGAAAAGAGCAAAGGCACAAACTAATGATTTGTGTCTCCAAACACTTCCTGCCGTGTGAAATTCCTGCTGCAGCTCCTCAGCCAGGCAGATCCCACTTGTGATCCCAGACTGGTGTGGCTCCCCCAGTCTAGACCTGGAACTGGGGATGTTCCCTGTGATTTACGGGATGTTCCCTGTGATTTATGGGATGTTCCCTGTGATTTTGGGTATGTCCTCTTTGATTTATGGGATTTGGGGGTGAAATGATGGCCCCATGAGAGGCTGCAGTTCTGGATCCCCGTGAGGCATCCCAGAAGCTCTGGGAACAACTGGAACTCATTGGTTCAGAGTTTTCCAGGGTGTCCCATAGGAACTGGGCTTGTTTGTTTCAAATCCTTGAATCCAGTGAAGGAAAAAGGAAAAGAGGAAAACTCAGGGCAACCCTAAAGAGCTGGGTCTGGGCCTGGAGGAGGGTGGGGGCTCCCAGGTGGGCCCAGGGCAGAGCCCTCAGCTCCCTCAAGAGCTTCTCCCCACCTGGGGGCTCTGCATTCCCAGTGTGGATGGCAGGAGGGGCTTCCAGGGCATGTTTGGGATCTCTGGGGCATTTCCAGCCAAGGAAGAATGTCCAGGGTTTGGTGTTTGGGGTCTGAATGTGCCTTTTCCCCCAGGCAGCGGGAGACAAGAGCCAATCCCGGGGAGCTGGGCCTTGTCTCTCCCACCAGGAGAGATGGGGGTGCAGGTGCAGATTTCTCTTTTTTTTCCTCTTTCTCCAGAGCTTTCTGTGCTCTCCCCCCACCGGGACCTTTCTGCTCGTGCCTGGGTAATTATTGTCATTCCAGCACGGAGAGTTCTGTAATTACTGCCACTGTCAAAATAAGGTCGGTGTTTGGGCGACGCTCATCCTGATGAGCCTTTAATGAGGGCCGCTCGCGGCCTTTGGAGGGAGCCTGACATCCCCCGAGGGAGGAAGGGGGACATTAATTAGCTGGATCTCGGGAGGACAGGGCCAGCTCTGCTGCCCGTCACTCGGGTGGGATGTTTGTTATTAACGCCACCGAATTAGCTCAGGGTGTCACTGTTTGCGATGTCCCCGGCCCGGGGGGCCGCAGTGCTGTCTGTGGAGGTGGGAGCTCGGGGAGGGCAGATTCAGCTCAGCCCATGCTCCTCATGTGGGTTTCTCACTGTGGATCCCAGTGCTGGAGTGAACTCAGGAAATGTCCCATGGGGCCCTCTCCCCACAGCCCTTTGGGGATTTTCTGCAGCCCTTTGGGACGTGGCGCTTCCCCATTCCGAGCAAACCCAGCTGTATGGAGCTGCTGGTGCTCTCCCGGGCTGGAGGAGCCCAGCAGGCAGGACCCTGAGCTTTGGGATCCTGCAGAGCTGAATCCATCCCGGTTCAGGACTTTGAGAGGTTTTTATGGACACCAGGTGGCAGCGTTTGTCTGTCTGTCCTTCCCTGCCCATCCTTCCCCTGCCCTTCACCATCCCCGTCCCCTCCTTCTCCCTTCGAGGCTCCCAGAACTCCTGTCCTGCCCCTCCAAGGACCACGGGATTCCTCTTTTTGAGGAGGAGAGTCCCCAAGGGGGCTGCTTGGACATCCTGATGACATCACAGTGACATCACGGTGACATCACAGCAAAATTGGGACAGTTTGGGATCAAACTCTGGCTCTGGGAGCATCCCTGGAGAAGCAGCTTTGAGGCTACCAGAGCATCATGTTCTGATGGAGCAGAAACAAAAAGCTGATGATGGAAAACTCCTGGAATGTGTCCAGATACCACATCCATCAACTCTCATCCAGTCCCCATCCAGACCTTTTCCCATTTTTCCCCAGGAGCTTTCATGAGGGTGAGCTGATCTCCAGGAGTGGGGAGAGGCAGGACGAGCCAGGGCTGCTCCCATGGGGATGGTGGGACATGGTCCTGCTGGGAATGTCTAAAATCAAGCTGGGAACACGATGAGTTTATCATGGAAGCGCAGATGATGTGGGTTAGAAAGGACCTTAAATCCAGTTCCACGTCCCTGCCCAAGTTTATGTTTAAACCTGCTCTTAAATTTAACCCAGATTGCTGGAGTGGGGTCACCCAGGGGATGCTTCATTTTGAGGGGATTTATGGCTAACAGGGAAGAATGAAGGCTTTGGCTTCCCCTTAGCTGCTCTGAGAGGTCTTTGCTGCCCACAGTGCCCAGCCCAGGCTCTAACCCAGGGCAGGGACTGTAGAACGTCCCCATCTGTCCCCCAGCCGTGGTTCCGAGCCTGGTGCCCTGGGAATCAGCACTTTTCACCCCCATTTTCCCCTTGAAGGAGTTTGTGGCCTCCTCCTCCCCAGCACAGCTGGAGGTGCCACAATGGACAAGGCAAATCTGGCAAAGAAAAACCTCCCTGGGTCACTGGTTCCACCTGGAACCTCCCCTGTGACGCTGAGTGCCTGGGTTTGGTCTCAGCATTTTTTGGGCTGTTTTTTTTCTGTTTTGCTTTGCAGGTATTGAAGAGCCAAGGGAGGGGCCACTGCAGAGCGAAACTCTGTGTTCTCACCGGGTATTTTCAGTGAAGCCCTTTCTCTGAAGGGCTGGGGATTATTTCCTCTCTCCTTTGTGCCCGGGTTTTGGCAGGAAACATCTCAGAGTTGATGTCCCACAGGCTTGGTGCTAGGGAGGAGCAGTGGGGTGGGATGGGAAGCTGAGCTGGTGCCAAGAGTGGGACCTGATGGGTTGAGCTGTGAGAAGCCAAAACTTGGGCCCTCTCCAAAACCCAGCTCAGGCTGATCCCTGTGGTGGATCCCCATTTCTGATGGATTTATGACTCCTCTCACATTGCTGGTGACAAACTGGGTGAGGTCCCTCTTGTCCCCAGCTGCCGGCACTCTTCTGTCCCCAGGCACCTTCCCTGAGCTCTCAATGTCCATGATCCTGGACACTGGACAGGGGGCCAAGGACAGGCTTTGCCCATGGAAAACTTGGACATGAGCCTGGAGAGCTGGAAGTGGTTTCATCAATGGGGGTTGGAGCAGAAACCAGTTTGAGCCCGTTGCTGGGCTGGGAGATGGGTGAGAATATGGGATTTGCAGGTAAAACTCTTTGGGGTTGAGCATGGGGCTCTCACTCCTGGGATCTGGACACTGGTGGGTCCCCAGCCATGGTGACCCCTCTGCTGGTGTCCCTGCTCCTCCTCATCACTGGGAGCTGCTCTTTGGGGTCACCTGGAGGTCAGGCTGGAGGCTCTCACCTGGCTGAACTGGTGCATTTCACCTCTTCTGCTGAACCCTGGTGGGTGGAGCAGGGCGTGGGACGCACCTGGCTGAGCCCACGGCGCCTGAAACAAACCCTGGGGTCTGAGCCCTGCATGAGCTCCAGTCCTGGCCCTCCTTGGCTGCTCCTTCTGACCCCTGGCCCTCCCTGCTGGTTTCTCCTGCTCTCTGTGTTGGGGAAGATGAAACAGGAAAGCCTTATAAATATGATTGTCTGGCAAAAGATTTTGAGAATATGGAAACTCTAAGCGGGATGGAAATGAAAGCAAGCTTTGAGATCCCTTAGTTACTGAACAATGGGAAAACAATGGTGTGGCCAGCTGAAGGTGATCCCTTTTTGATGGAACAACACCCTCTGCTTGCAGACAGACCCAAGGGTCAGAGCAGACCCTACAGCTTGGCAGAAGGGGTCCAAAGAGAAGTTTTTAGGGTTTAAAATGTAGCACAGTATGGTGATGTAGTGATTCTTATAGGCTGTATGTAAATGCTATAGGATTTGTATATTGGACTACATTGGTTAGTGAGAATTGGAATATTCAACACAGAAGATTTATTGTATTGTAATGGGAACCTCGCTCTCTTAGCTCTTAGCTTTTGCCTCTTAGCTCTTACCTTTTACTCTCTTACCCCTTTTACACTCCTATGCTTTTACTCTCTCACCATCCTCTCTGCCCCTCTGTTCTCTCAGTCCTGCCCTGAGCTGTCCCTGGCAGCTCCCAGCAGGGCCCTGCACTTGGCCCTTTGCAATAAACCCCAAATTCCAGATCTGGCTTCAGAGATCTCTCATCTCCATCCGTCCTGACCGTGCAACCCCCGGTCC